AGCGGTTAAGTTATATTCGGAAAGAATAAACCCGTTTTATTAAGTAAAGGCTTGTGTCGCGTAAGTTTCGTCGGTACGAAGTTACGGAAAATCAGTTAATTAAAAAACGGAGACGTAACAATATGTTATAATATGCCAACCACACTACATTTACCATAACCAGTGCTAGTGAGAACTTTATTCCAATACTGAGATTCTTCAGGCCGGCTGAGAAACAACAGAAATAGTAATGGTATAGACCTACATGCATTATCAATTTTCAAGAACAACTACTGGCACAATGTGAATCAGATTAAACAAGTGAATTGTAATTATTATAAATTTTATTTAAGTCATTTACTAATTTTTACTGAGTAGGTCATCCTTTATATGTCAAGGTTACACTCAGGGGGTAAATTGCTTATAAAAAATGGTGGGGACACGCCAAAAACACAATAGACTAGCGTTAGAATACATAGTGCAGATTTTAAAAAAAGTGGGGAACATGTCCCTCCTGTCTCCCAAAATGATGACGAACATGGTCACACTCATACTTTTAACCTAATGGTGGGAGTGGCCTAGAGTTGTGTGACCTGATTGTGAACTCGAGATTCTTGATTCGCGACCGGTTGCTGTAGAAATCCGCTCGCAATTTGGGACCGTGGATGAGCTATAAATGTGGCGGTCAAATACCATTATGCAATCAGAAAAGAGTAGCCCAAAAGTTGCCGGTGGGTACTTTTGACTAGCTGCCTTCACTCTAACTTATCAGTTCAAATTAGGAACGGCTATGCGCATTTAGTTCTTGTGTACAGTTTTGAAACAAACAGATAATTTTTTAAAGCTATCTAGAATGTTTGCATTTTATTATTAATACTTTTCTAAAACACTTCTAGGCAACTTCCATAAATGTTTTCTCAAAGACAGAATAATAACATTTTAAAATTATACAATTCGTGAAAACATTCAAGATGCATGTATAACATCATGAAGATATGATAGAAATATGTATTCGTGGTGTTAGAAAAATACGTAGGTTCAAAAAAATTATTTAAGGCAAAAGTAAAATTACTTATAACCCAAGCGCTTTCGAAAGCGTTTAGGTTATAGGGTATTATATTTTTGTCTTATATAAATATACATGCTGAGGCACGAGTCCTTTGTCCGGGTTATGAATTTAAAACATATGAGGTGAATGCTATGATAAATAACACAAAAATCCTAACTTTCACACAATTTATTCATTACATAACATGTTATTACAATATTCATTATTAACCCCACCAAAAATTTTGTGTAAGCTTTAAGAACTTAATATGTATATACTTAAAACATGATATATACTGTGCGATGGTCAGGATGACTTTATAGAAAGATGTAGCGGCCAAAGTAGTAACGGTAGGGGGTGCTTTCTATTACTCGCTTTTAACATCCAGCTCTTAATGTCATTTCACAGTATTTCTTGTGATTACTTGGCCGCAGACGTGTGTTAAGAGCCGAAGTTGAAACGTCACGGTTCAAAGAAGGAAGTGAAACGGCTCTTCATATCAGCCTTATGGTGGCTGTTGAAATAGAAACTTCAGTTGAGTTTATGTAGTATTGCAATAGTGGCGGCCATTTTTTTCATTGCATTCCTTCATAGAGAGTGCTAGTGCACTTTCTGAGATCTATAAGACGTTTGTGCGCTCTCACCCCACACTGTATGTATGTTGTTTTACAGAAAAGTTTTTTGTTTTTGGTGTAAGGACGTGGCACCATCTATGAATGTAGTTAACGTTAACTTACGTGAAAGATAATAAATGGTCAATAAAAGCAATAATAGGGGATAGAAATGGAGGTGAACCACCATTAACACGCCCCTTGTTTCAAACTATCATCCCACAGAGATTGGTTGAAATTTGCCCAGCGACCTAGGAGTAGTTAGATAACTGACAAACAGACAGACACATTTTTTTTGCTTTATATAGATATATTAAGTAAATTAATGCAAGGATAATATTACATTTTATTTGAAGTAAAGAATTATTTTTGAATACCCTAATTTACACTATGTATGTGTGTGTGTTTGTATGATGTATATATATATGCAAATACATACACACACAAAATATCAAGTCTTATAATACTTGAATTATCACAAGTGTACCTAAGACTAATCACTTTATTAATGTCAGATGTAAGATAAAAATAGAACACCCACTATTTTATACGTATTTTACTGGTATTATACATTATACCTGACAGGCTATATGAATGAAGTTCATATCTACAAATCATGTTTCACAGAAAGAAACAGGATCGATTTTGAGATAAAACTATATAGTGACTTTGCTCAGTGGAATGTAAAGCGTTTTCCTCCAAAAACAAACTACGTTTTATCTCTTTTTGGAATGTGGAACTAGAGACGAATGGTTTTCTCCCAATGATATTCAATTACCAAAGTGCTTGCATTGTTGGTGTCTGGCTCACGTCACTCGAAG